TATTTGGTATAAGGCCAAATTCCAGAGAATATCATAATTAAAATAGCATGTGGATATACTCCATCTGTCCACATATCTTCTACTAAATTCATTAACCCAAAATCAGAAACTGGCATTATAATGACTTGACGATTTCCAAATGAAATATATGCATTAACTGTGGCTCCTGTACCTGTATTAGATATAATGAATAGGCAATACTCAAAAGAATTAACAATGGCATATTAACTCCAGTCATAACATTAACATGAGGATGAAGGAAAGTGATGCTCATTTTTCATCTATTCTTAACCATTATGTATAGAAACATAATGGGAATGATTTTAATATTTGTAACAATGGTTTCTTTTTTTTTTTCTTTATCACTAATTAACATTTTCAATAACATAACTAAGAAAATATGTGTTGTGTTAATTAATTAGTCTTTAAATGATTAAATTTAATTAAGACAGTTTAAAAGAGTTGTTATTAATTAGATAACATAATTACTGAGTTTGATTTATTTTTTATTTGTTTCAGTAAACAATTTCTTCACATTCAATTACATAAGATAAAATGATTTGTGTTTATTTTATATTTCCAATGATAGCCTTATTAAGTCTATGAATATATTTCATTACAATTTGAGTATTACTATATTCAATATCACAATTAAGAAAATTATTTAAATTATTAAAATAAATAAATATAATATTCTTCAAATATATTTTATTTACAATGTATTATTATTTTATTCACTATAATTTAAAGTTATTCAAAATAAAATTATTGATAATTGTATTTAATAACTCCACTAAAAACTTTTTTGCATTTTTTATATAATTTTTAAATACAACTCTATAATTTATAACACTAAAACAAATTTTAACCACTATCAAATATATATAATTAATTTAATATATTAATATCGACATATAATTTATAGTACAATATCTTTCAAATAAATGATTACACTAAACTTAATTTCAAAAATATTTAAATAAACTCTAAATTTAATATTAAGTAGAATAAATAAATTCATTATTTATTATCCTTGTATGATTCTATAACTCATTTATTTTTTATTTTTATTATTAAAATAAAATTATAAATAACTGATTAAATTGCATAATAAAAATATTTAACAAAAATACAGTAACACTTATAATAAATTTATCAATAAACTCAATATAAAAATGATTTTCCACTACATACAACAAACGAAAAAATAAATAAAAGCTAAACTAATTTGTAACAAAATGTTAATTAGTACCTCAATAAATTATAAAAAAAATGTGATAATGATTATTTGTGTAGTTTAACACAAATACTCTATGAAATAAAAAAAGAATAAAATTATTATAACTAATAAGTTAACTCTTAAATAATATAATAAAATTCATTCAAAACTGTTATTATGATTATTTTTTATTAAAAGAATGAAATTGTTATATATAACAATTATTCATATGAACTGTTTAAAATAAATTTAAGTCAAAAATAAAGTTATGACAAAAACTAGATTAATACAATGCATCTTATCATTTCATCAACTAATTTCCTTTTGATTAAAAATAATATTAACACAACATTGAAAGAAATAAAAAATGTGTTTATTAAAAATATAAAACCAGCCATTCTTATCCTGAGTTTAGAAATACTAATTGTTCTATCATACTACAATATCCCATTAATAACTTCAGTTCTTCTTTCATTATCAAAATTAAAATTACAATTATCATATTTCTATTCTTTTGTAGCTACTGGCTTATTCATGGGAATTATTCCATGGATTATAGCTATTATTCAAAAATCTATTAAACAAGAAAGTATAAAGAATATAGGAATTTATATGTTTATTGCATATGGCATTGTCGTTTGTTCTATTTGAAATAGTATAACTTAAAGAAAATAAAGATTTAGATAACAAGGGTGTTCAGTCAGATATTTTTTATAAATTACAGTCTTATCTCTTTGGCAATGAAGGGATTTTACAAGTAATTTATAAAATGTTGTTTGACCAGTTTATTTGGACTTTATTTTATATGTCTCATGTCAATTATTGGATTAATTGGATTTATAATAATGACCTTCAATTACCAAGATGCTCCTCTTCATTAATTAAACAATATTTTACTCATGACTGGATCATCGGATTAATTGGAGGGTATGTTATTTGGATACCTTCTTGTGCCATCATTTATTCTATGAACCCAGCACTACAACTAATTATGATGAACCTTATAGGTGTTTTCTTTGTTCTTGTTATGGCAACAATAACAAAGAAATCAACTCAACAAGAAAATGCATTACAACTTCTTGATGAAGAATTAAATGTTTTAGACATACCTGAACAACAAAAAAATGAACATGATTAAATTAATTCATTTTCATTTCTTTTTAGTTTTAAAAAAATAATGAAAGATGAAATGGTCAATTCTCTGCTTTCATAATTGCTTTCCCTTTACAACAAATGATAGCTTTCTCCATCCTTTTCACTTCTTCAGGAGTTTCTGGTTGACGTTTTACATACCAATGATTTGGAAAACTATGACGAGCAAAGCATCCAGGGCAATGACGTGAACAATTTCCACAATCAACACAGTTAGTAGAAACATAGTAAGGACCTGGGACATTTTCAGCCCATCTCATAGGATGTGCTCTATCTATTGGAGGATATGCCTCGTAAGGATTCATAGAAACTAATGATTACTAGATTGACAAATGACAACTTCAAGAACAGTCTGGTGGTTCATCCAAAATTGATCTTCCAGATTTTTCTCTGCCAAAAAAATAATAACACAAAAAAAAGAAATTGCGTTATTAAAAACAAAAAATAAAATTAAAATGATTTTAGAGGAAAAAGAGAGAAATAATAAGAAATAATAAAAGAAATTAGAGAAGAATAGTAAAATAAGAGAGAAATTCAGGGTTACCCTAGCACTAGAAAAAGAACTAATACGTTAAAACAGAGTGGCGATGAAATTCAATTGCAAAGTCAGTTCAAATCCAAGCAAAGCTAGAAAAGCCCTTTACACTGCTCCAGCAAGTCAACGAGCTATTTTGATGAGTGCTAGACTTTCAAAAGAACTTAGAGAAAAGTATAACGTTATTGCTGTTCCAATTCATAAAGATGATGAAGTCAAAATTATTAAAGGACATCAAAAAGTTGCTGGTAAAGTCACTGCTGTAAGAAGAAGCAAATATGTCATTAATATTGATAAGTTAACTAAGACTAAAGCCAATGGACAAACTGTTCCAGTTGCTATTAGACCATCAAATGTCATTATCACCAAATTATTCTTGAATAAGGATCGTGAAGCATATCTTGCTAAGAAAGCTGAAAGCAGAAAATCATACAAAGACCTCGTTGCTAAGAGAAATGAAGAAGTAGCTAAAGTCTTCAAAGCCGCATATCCAGACCTTAATATGGATATCTTCGGAAAGAAAGTTGAACCAATTACTGAAAAGAAACCAATCAGAATTCCATCTAAGAAAATGGCTGAAAAACTTATGTCTAAACCAACTCTCAGAGCTTATAAAACTGGAATTAAGGTTCATAAGGCTAAGAACGCCATTGCTGCCTACAAAGCTGCACTTGCCAAGAAGATCGCTAAGTAATTGATGATTATCGTAATGTGTTAAATATAGAAATAGAATTTTGTTTTACTTTTTAATTTTTTTAGTTTAAAATAGAAAATAATAAAAAATATAATTATTTTTTAAGTAAAATAACAAGTTCTATTGAAGGGAAATAAAACAAATAAAAATAAGTAATTTAAAAAAAATCCATTGAAACTTACAAATTGTTATTCTTGTTTTTCTTGTTTTATAAACAAATGAATCGCTTATTTATCATTGAAAGCCCTACGAAACGATTCTCTTTTCAGAAGAAAGTTCTTGATAATCCTCAGTCAAGAGGAACTATATTATTTGAATTATTTGGAGAAAAAAGACGGGAGTGTAATGAAGTAATACACGCTAATCTCAGTTCAAATGAAATGAAAGAGATTGCATTACTGACAGAATATTTATCAGACAAACCTGATATTCTTGTTGTTGGAGATATTAAAGATATTGTAATGAAAGCGGGGCCATTACTTAGAGCTGGGATTGATATAGAAAATGTTATGAATTATTATATGGTTGATAATAAATTAGAAGCAACTCGATTAATTGTTAAAGGAATGGGACAAGAACTTGCCAAATGCATTATATCAAGAAATAGATCAGGAGAAAAAATGACATTTAGAAAGATGTTTGAAGAAATAGAAAAAAGAGGCAAAGAGTTAAAAGGAAGAAATTCTCATGTTATTGAATTAATAAGAAATTGGTCTTTTGGAACAAGTAATAATGAAATTAAATCAGTAGAAGTTAAAAAAGAAGAAACAATTAGTCAAAGAAATTGTGAAAGTGAAGTAATGTCTCCAAGAAAAAATTCAGTTGATGCAATTGAAATTATAAAACCTTCTAGTTCAAGATATTTTAGAAGAAAACCTTCAGACAGTAATTCAATAATACCACCATCTATCCAATTTAGTTCACCTGATTTAACTACAAGTTATAATTCATTAACAAAATCTACTCAATTATCAGTTAATACAAAACAACTATCAATTAAAGATGAAGGTAAAACAATTGGACTAATGTCAAGAACAGATGGGATTATATCTCCAATGAAAAGAAGCTGGAGAAAGAGTAGAATCCAATCAGCAATTATTGATCTTCCTAAACTTCAACAAAATTTACATGAACAATCATTACTTAGTCTTTCTTCTACACCAAATAATTCTAGTGAACACATTACATTTAAATCAGACTCCAATTATCAACAAAGATTAGATAATATAATTAAAATGGAATCAGTTATAAGAGGGTTTTTAATTAGAAGAGAACTTTCAATAAATAATCTTCTCCAAAGAAAGAATGTACTGCAAGAAATTGTTCAAACAGAAGAAAATTTATGTAAAAATATGAAATTGATGGATAAATATTTTAGAATACCATTAAAAGAAATGGCTAATAAAGGATTATTAAATGAAAATGAAGTGACAAATGTATTTACAATGGCATTTGATAGATGTCTTCATAATAGTGAAGAAATATCTAATAGATTTAAAGCGTTATATGACAGTCTTAAATTTGACACATTAATTGGAGAGGGATTAAATGAATCATTTTATCTTGTAACTTCATTATTAGTATTTACTACTGACTATAATATTTCGTTAAAAACTTGGAAAGAAATTAAAAAGAATAAATGCGTTATTGAATTAATCGAAAATAATTTAAAAATAAAAGAGTTAGATAACAGAACACTTGAACAATTACTTATTCAACCAGTCCAAAGAACAATGAGATATCCTATGCTTATTAATGAACTTATAAAAGCAACTAAAAAAGTACATAAAGACTTTGGGTTATTAAAGAAGTCATATGATGAATATCATTTCTTTTCACAAGTAGTTGATGAAAGAACTAAAATGCGAGATGACTTACAAAGGCTTTGTGAAATTTTAGATAAGCCTGAATATTTTATTTTTGGTAGAATTCTTATTGGAGAATATAGAGTTGAATTAAAAGAGTCAAAAAAGAAAAACGCTATTGTATATTTATGTAATGATATTATTTTAATTAGAAAAGGTAAAACCAAAGAAAAAACTGTCTTAGAAGAATTTCCTTTAAATGGTAATGTTGTGGCTGATATTTCTAATAGAACTGTTACCATTAAACAATTTAGAAATGAACAATATAAAACATTTATATTTGAAACTACTCAAAACGCTTCTGTATTTACACAAATTGTTAATGGCACAATTATGGATGGTTGGTATGTTCTTGGTGACGATAGGTCATATGGTAAATTACTTAGTAGTTTTATTAAATAATAATTTAACTACTTTTTTGTTAATTTCAATTTAATTGAACTCTTTAAATGAATAAGTAGCTCTATCTTTTAAATTACTCTGTTTTTTAATATATGTTCTATTTTAGTCTTTTTCTTTGGCTTGTTGACAAATTAGAAACACCACACAAATATTAATACAAAACAAAAAATGAAATATCAATTAATATTTGATTATGATGATGTATTTGAATAAGAAATGGATTAATTAATAATAAAAAGAATGAAGTAAAATAATATGAAAGAATAATAACAAATGAAAAAGATATAAAAGATATTAATAATAAAAGAAATTAAATATAATAAAATAATAATAACGAAATATTCAATCAACATAAAATAAGAAAT